TGATCAGGTGTAGATTTAGACTGGTTCACATGAACTGGTCAGAAAAAATATAACTCCACTGACTATGGACATTACAGATGTATTTTTATTCCTAAAAACAATACTGCATCAGTGCTTCATTTCTTATTTTAACCTATTCTTTCCTTTAGTCCAAGAAAGTTAATTGGTCAGCTATAGAAAACATTGTTCTTCTGTTGGTTATAAATAGCTGGACTCAAGCATAATGCAACCAATGAGTTCAAGCATTGAGAATATGTTTATTTTGTTTATAATAGGTAGCTAAACTCCCAGCAAGGTGGGCAGTTCCTCACACAGCACTCTTGTCTAACAGAGCTCAAAAGATCCCATTATGAAACACTCAAAACATATACTTCTTTATACCTTTACCCCATTCACTGTGGCTGGGACATATATTTCCCAGTGCAGTGAGAAACATATGTCCTAACCACAGTGAAAGGGTTAAAATATTCCCAGTAGTAGTGTGGTTAAAGCACTCATGCCTCCTAGGAGAAAAATGCCAAGAAAAATGTGTAGAAATATAATTTTTAGCTGGTGAAATCTACTCCATGCAACAGATTGAGGCAAAATTTCATGTGTATGAAAACTCTAAATAGGGTATGTGAAACTAGTGCTGTTGACAATAGTAATAGTTAAATTAGAAAACCCAAATCTTTCAAAAGTGATGTTAAGTATTAAACTCTGGATGTGTACTTTATGTGAAACACAACAACCCAGTAGAGATCTTGCCAATGACCCAGCTATGTTACCTCCAGGACAGTAGGATACAAGTTAGTATGAAGTGACTGCAACTGATGTGTAGCTGTTAAAAATCACTAAGGCTTAAATGGGACTCAGATTTCAAACTATTGGATGAGCAAAGCTGAAGCAGGGCCCTCCTAACAGGTGAAGATGAAATGTTTGGCAACAGTTAATGATGCGGATTAACATTCTTTGAACGTAATACTATTCTTCACTTACCTATATCACCTATATCATAGCCTATTTATCAATTATTTAGATTTAAATTTCTACATCTGAGCTACAGAAATTTATAGGTTCTATACTTGAAAGTTGTAATGTTATTACTTACACATTCATCACTTAATGTAATTTTAAGAAATGTTTTCATTTTATTACATTGCTATTGGCACTATCATATAGAAATTTACCATTTAAAAACTTAAATCCTTCAAAATTTCACCTGAAATTTACAGATTTATTCTCCAATATGCCAATACTTTTGTTAATCTCTTCATAAATGGAATATGTGCATAAATGATTTGACAAAAGTTAGTTCAGTTGTTTTTTTTCTTCACAAGATTAAATATATACTGCATAACTGTCTGTTTTGGCTTCATTAAAAATTACCTTTGTGCTATCAACATTAATTAAATATAGCCTTTATTTATAAAACAAATCAACAAACTGGTTTATAGGTCTGTACTAGAATAGCCTATGTGAAAATGCTTATATCCCCTCATTAGTTTTGCATTAATTTGTGAAAAAATAGTTGTTCATGGAAATTTATTTTTAACTTTCCAATTGTTTTTAAGCATAATCTTTTAACTTTAAAATAGCTGTAGAGGAAGTATCAGAACTACTTTTTATTCACACGCACACACACACATATATATATATATATATATATATATATACTAGACAAAGTAATAGTGGTCTTTGCTAGTGGGTTAGTTAGGTTGTATTATTATTTTAGTACGTAAGTTAGACTAAATAAACTTTTAGTCATAAG